TTACATTTCTCGTATTTGCAGCATATAAATGAAAAAAAGGATGGAGATATAAAGCAGCCCTGTTTTCTTACCTCTCTGCACCTCAAACTAATCCGGTGTTTCAGCAGCTACGCTGACTGCTGCTTGTTGTTCATGATTAAGAGCTACCATTAGATGTACCAAATGTATTAAGAACCCCATGCATACCATTAGTATATGACACGGTGTTTGGTGTTGAACACAATCACAAGCTTTTCTGTGGTCTATGAAACAAGCGTGGAGATCTGTCTCATACTCTGTATTTTTTAGAAATGACACCATAGGTGTGTGTGGTTTTTTTTTTCGGTTATAGATGCACACTAAACTACTTACTGCATCGATGTAGGCTCAGACCGCATATGGTACTAATCACGAAAATCGCCCCCATCTCGTTCTAGTGCGAGATTTTGTGACAGTTCACACGGGCCGTCCCGTGGCGAAAACCGGCTCGAATCCGTCGGACGCCGTCGACACACAGTCTCCCAGACGAAACGATGCAGCTGTCTTTTCTGTGAATGACTGTCGTTTCTCGTATGTGATGTTGTGAGTAACTCAGGCTCCTGTGTACAAAGAAGTAGTGCGGAGGGAAGCGCCGAAGTCGCGACGGTTCGTGAATCATTGATGTTTTGGATTTTTACACTCGTTGGCCTTGGCTATCATGCAGTGATAGATGTGTTTCAAACAATTAAAACAAGCAACACATGACACCCCTAGAACAAAGGACAGCCCATAGATATGAAATCACGCAGCCGAACGAGATTGGGTGAGATTCGTGAGTTGTACCCCGCATCTCTATCACCACACTTTCCACCAACATCCCTTTGCAAGCCACGGACTCTATCGTGTCGTTCTGTGGTTGGAGTAAAACAAAAAATCAATACGCGTAATTATCTGCTAGCCAGTGACACGTCATCGCTGGTGTAGTGTGATCCGTTGTTGCCAGGCTACCCCGTCTCTCGCTAAATTGGGTTCCTTTAAAAAATCGTAGTTGCGGTAATTTTCAGAAATCGCGTGTGGCTAAAGTGTGTAGTTTTTCTTTTTCTTTTCCGACCTTGTTTCGGATTTTTTTTTTTTCTTTTAATATTATTATTGATATTTTTTTTTCTCGCTGGATATGGCTTGACTGAAATTACCACGCGAATAGTCCTGGCATTTGGCTAGAAAAGAATTGTCTGTGTTGATTTCAAATACGACAACTGTGAACTAATTGAATGCAGCTGGCTTTTTATGGATGGCACATCATCTGGAACAGCGGTTCTCAGAGGATTGCGACCCTTTTGTGGGTCCAACGACCCTTTGACCGGGGTCGCCAAAGATTATCGGAAAACCCATATTCACTGAAGTTATGAAGTAGCAAAGAAAATAACTGAATGAAATAGCAACATAAGGAACTGTATTCTTCTTCTTCGCGTTCAACAGCTGTACACTCTGGTGAAAGTTCTGGTTGTTCGTCCACTTCTGAACTGCAGTCCTGCTCCAGAACCTGAGTGTTGCGTGTGCATAAGTTTTACAGATCTGATTCACTTGAATGCAGACTGTTGGTTCCTTGCCTCTCCGGCAGATGCACTCCGACTTGAAAGGAAGCTCCCCAATTAGTCGACTCTTACGACATGCTTTTGGGTAGGCAGAGGGTCTATTCTTTTCCCCACGGTAGGGCCCCGGAACCCACATGGGGAAGGAACTGTATTAAAAAGAGTCGTGGCATTAGGTAGGTTGAGAACCACTTACCTGGAAAAATTTATTTTGTCTCCCGATGCAGGTCATTTGAGCGTCGGGAGTTGTTCTCGTCTTTCACATACACACACACACACATACACTCCTCCCCCTCCCCACATGTAATCCCTGGGACAAAAACCTGGTATACTACCCGACATCTACTACCATACACTGGCGGATTCAACCGTTTTGACAGAACCCGAGGACTGTTTACACAAACGGTTGTGTCCTAGAAGCACGTCTTATCTCGGTGTTCGTGATCTACTACATACTCCACCCAGATCAGCAAGAGGCACAAGGCCAAATATCAGCGCTCTTGTGAACAGATAAAGATCAAACAAACAAACTAGTGGACAAATAATTTTGAATGAAATACTTCATTCCTGTATGGCGTGTGTCCTCTGTGTTGTATTTATAGTATGTCTACAGTCGTTAACAGTATTGTTCACTTTTGTTTCCTCCATGTTGTTGTTGTTCTACTTTCTCCCCATTTTTCTTTACTACTACTCCTGCATCGAAGCTTCCTGTCTTCTCTTCAAATGTACTGCTACTTCTGCAGCTTTTAATATATCTGTTACTGCTAATACTGCTGCTACTTCTATTGCTGCCAATGCTGCTGCTGCTACTAATGCATAAACTATCCATATTTTTGCCGCTGCTACTGATGCAGTATAGTTATTGCACAGTTATCTAAAAAACACACGGTTCATCGACGATCTAAATCGTATTTCATTCTCAATAGTAAACAGAAACCCATACTACTGTATGAATGCTGTGTAGGTGGGCCCATTTGCGTAAACAGTTTTGGTTCATATCTCGTCGCTGTCCCAGTTGTATACCGTGTGTGCGATAAGGTGGAGGGTCGTATGATGTTATGAATCAGATATTGATAAACGATCTTCGTCAAGTATCCGCCATGGGGGTCATGGGATAGCGAATCATGGGTTATATTTAGATTGTTTCGTCATGCCCCTTGTGACTGGAGCTATTTTTCACCTGTGATCTTCAGAGCCCCGTTAACTCTCATAGATTGTTATTCCGCCGTGACTTATGACGACTGGTACTATTTTTCCCCCGTGGTCATCGGAGCCCCGTTAACTCTTTCAGTATCCGATAAAATATCAGATAAACTTATGGATTACTCTTGGTTACATTCAGTAAAATTTAGATCCAGAAAGGTTTAAGGATTTTCTTAAATCAGAAATGTGGGACCGAAGAACGCAGATATCACAGCCTTGCTGTAAATCACAGTGCACTGAATAAACTAGCCTGTAATGACGAAACAAGAAGAAGAAGAATCAACAGAACGACCACAGACAAATCCGGAGGGTTGTTTGCTTGCTTGTTGTACCCCACTAGGACACCACACAAGCGATAAACACCAGGTGACACAAAATGCCACCATGTGGATGAGGATCACCCGTGGAGAGGTCCAGAAACCCCTTTCAGCCGTTATGGCCACATTTGTGGCCCAGTTATTTTTAAGGCCCCTGGCAAAAGCCAGTGTGGGGCTTCAAATAACGAAAAATTGCATCCCACAAGGGGACGACTTGAAATAGGTTACGGGAAGAAAACCCATTTTATAGGTCGTGTTCCGCCCCCCCCCCCCCCCAATCCCCCCTTTTTTCCCGTACACCGTTCCACATTTTTTTTTTTAATTCAAACCTTGTGGAAGAAACGCATACCTTCTTTCATTGCCTTGTGGGGTCATGCCGTTCACGGCGTATTTCACTGGGTAAGTATATGAAAGGATTGGACGGCTGACGGCTGCCAGTGATCTTAAGATTTCCAAGCCATATCTTAACGCTTATCTACCACGCTAGAGTGACACTGAAAACACCACCCAATTTCTTCTCTTTACATTTCATTGCCTGGTATTTGCTTATATCAGGACATTTGTCCTCGCTCCCCTTTCCGTCCTCCTGCCGGTCCTCCCTCACCATACACAAAACGCCACCGCTACACTACAGCTGCAAACTTGTCTCCTAAATTCATTTTATTGCTAACCCCCACACAGCAGCAGTGACCTTATTTCTAGTTCTCCACACACCCGGAAGTAGATATTGTGCACGTAGTACCCAGTTAAATGTACAGAGATTTGTCTTGTGGGCTCGGTTTTTTTTTTACATTCATTAAACTGGAAACGAGGGCGGGGTAACTGAAAGGCCAGATTAATCACAGCATCTGTACCATTCATAGTTTTTTTTTTTTTCTTCCCACTCTCATAAAGAAAGGTCGATTGCCCTCATACATGGCTGAGGTTGTTTTGCTTCCTTTCTGGAGCGTAAACATATTCTGTACGGAACATGACACTTTTCTGCGCCCTTAAGCATGTTCGGTTAAAAAAATAAGCAACAGTAAGGAGCCATTTTCTACGACTTTAGGCGCATTGGGCATATAGGGCTGGACCAATATTTAATAGACCAATCGGTACTTGAGGGGTGATGTGGTCAACAATACACCGGCCGCCATTTCTGTACCGGGTGCCTCATCAGTCATCAGCCTCAGTCATTGGCCTCATCAGTCGTCTTCGTACTCCTCATACTTGACAACACACCTGGTGCCTATCTAAAGGCCGGGTCGACCTGGGTGCTAAGGAAGAAGAAACACAAACTCTGGTTCGGATCCTTTCTCGGATCTGCATTTGAAACCGTCTGCCTCTTTCCCTCTCGCACCGCCTCTTTCCCTCTCGCACTGCCTCTTTCCCTCTCGCACTGCCTCTTTCCCTCTCGCACTGCCTCTTTCCCTCTCACACTGCCTCTTTCCCTCTCGCACTGCCTCTTTACCTCTCGCACTGCCTCGACATAGTCCAGTTTTCTCCTGACATGACCAAAGAATATAGATTGTCTCGGTTTGATGTAGAGTTTAGATAAAATAAAAATACAATAAAATACAAATCTCAAGTGTTGATTATTCTTTCCCATGACGGCTCTGCTGTTCTTTTCCTAGTCTGGACTGATTTGGTTTAAGAACAGCTTCATGTGGCTTAGGCGTTGCGAACGCGCTTCATTATGCCGGGGTGCCTGGTACGATCCCAGCTGCGGACAGTTTGTCTTGCGTTGGTTTCGACAGTGGTACCGAGAGCCGTTAAGAGGGATTGGCATACTACTAAAAGTAAAATTTGCCTAGAAAAACCACCCACAAAATGTTTGGGGATTGGTTCTGTAACGTCCTGTAAAGGATACGCAACTAGCTTTTTTTTTCTTCATTCTTTTCTTCCTTTTTTTTTTCCATTCTTTTATTCATTTTTGGTTCCATCACTGCAGGCCGCCATTCTCCAACATGCCACTGAGTACATCACCTCACTGGAGAAGGATAAGACGAAGCTGCAGATACAGCTGGAGCACACCAAGAGGGTGCTGACGCAGCTGGGCCAGGACCGGATGATCACCGATCCATACGTGTCCAACTCTCCTCCCCCATCCAAGCGGAAAAAACGTGACACAGGTAAACACATGGCTGCTTAATGTTTGTTGGTAAAAGTAACGTTGGTCTCTCCCACGCCCCGCCCATATACACGCTAGCTCACTTCTGATTGGTAGTTCCTGAACCTGTCACTTTGGCACAAGGTTACGGGGGTGTTCCGCAATGCCGTTGGTTGTATATTTCAGCACGCCAGCGCTTTTAACAATCTAAGAGCATGGAGATACTGGTCCTAACACAACCCTCCTTGAGAGTGCTGCAACCTGTGTCACAAGCAGTCTCTTTCTCGGAATGAAAACGTAAATGCAAGACATCACAGACAGCAAACAACAGAACGGGACACACCCCTAACCTTCAGAAAAGTCGACCAGTCCAACAAACTTGGGAATGAAAAGTGACCTACTCTGTTTGGGAAGATTAACCTGAACTTAACCATGTTTGTGATTCTAGCCGTTGCTCCATGTGGATTCCGGGGCCCTTTTTGGGGCAGACAGGAAGATCTATTGCAGGTTGACAAGAATGTAAAAATTTATTATGTAAAAATTTATTAATTCGGGTTCTCTTTGAAGTCGCAACGCATCTGCCTGAGAGGCGAGGAAACAAGTCTGGATACAAGGAAGCCAGATCTGTAGAATGGATATCCACACAAAACTTGAGTCTTGAAACAATACCACCAACGTTTAGAAGTGGACGAACTACCAGGACTTTCTGCTGGAGTTTGCAGCCAATGAACTCTGAGAAGAAGAAGAAGAAGCTGCAGCCTGTTTCCTAGCCCCTGGTGTAGGATCTGTTTTCTAAATCATTTATCATCATCTTGTGCCATTTATACCCCACATAGGCTTCACCATCTATTCCTACATCTGAGAGGCAAGGAACAAACAGTCTGCATACTGATAAGACAGATCTGTAAAACAGATATGCAAGCAACACTCAGATTCTGGAACAAGTCTAAAGTCCAGAGGTAGATGAACAACCAGAACGTTCTACAGGGGTTTACAGCCAATGAATGCAAAGAAGAAGAACACATTTAATACATGATCAGTCAACCCTATGCACACAGGACAAAATCCTATGCACACAGTCAAAATCCTGTGCACACAGGACAAAATCCTATGCACACAGGACAAAATCCTATGCACACAGGTCAAAATCCTGTGCACACAGGTCAAAATCCTATGCACACAGGACAAGTTGTCAGCAGGTTACTTAGCGTAACTGTAGGGTGTTTATACAGTTTAATGGCCTGGGGTTTGTTCCTTTTGAATTTACATCCAGTTAGTGGCTTTTTGAGCCACGGTGTGGTCAAAGCTACGAAGAAGAAGAGGTTATTGATGCCAGACTGTGAATTCGGTAAGTAAAGGACCATTTTCTACGAATTTGGGCATATAGGGCTAGATGTATATTTAATAGACCAGTAAGCATTTAGCTGGGGATTTGATCAACACGCTGGCAGCTTTTACTTCCCAGGACCTTACCTGGTACCAGTTTAAGGCTGGGTTGACCTGAGGGTCAAGGTCATTTTGTTAAGAAAAATGTCCGGAGCCATCAGAACACCCCCCCCCCCTCCCCCATCCTCCTCCTCTTCTAAGATGACAGCCTAAATTAGGTGCAAGAAAATTTCATGGGATGTAAAGGCAGACCACTTCACTCCTCTAATGCTGGCTGGTCTGTTGAAAGAATGTAGGTTTAGCACCATATACCCTGTGCACCAGTGGCAAGATAAAGGTCTTTTATGTTAAATTTATTGGCTTGTGCTCAGTACATGACAAATTTTATCTTTACCATTTGTACGTGACGATTTGGGCGTTACCATTTTGTTTGTTTGTATGTGTCTTCAGAATCATCAGATGAGGGTATGGGTTCCCTCTCGGATGCTTCGGACGAGGGTCCAGATGTGCAGCAGGAGAATGATACCCTGCGTCATCAGCTGGAGCAGGAGAAGCAGCAGTGTGCAGCTCTAGAAGAGCGTGTCCGTTGTCTGGAGAATGAGCTGCTGACAGTACACCAGGCAAAGGGAATTCACTCTAATGCATCAAATGTGAGTTCCTGTCTGTGAAACTTATAGTTATATTTGAACAAAGAAGATGAAATAGATTGCCCATTTCTTTACATATTTCACAGTGTTTTGTCATGTTCACACTGCAGTAATGAGTGATCGAAATAAAACCAAAAATGAATCCTTTTAACTGAAACACAAAATTGACTACATTCAAAAGTAACTGCCTGTTTTACCAGGGTGGAAGCAAATTCACAGCGACATCTTTCTGTCTGCACATTAGTTACTCTAAGGGCCATATATGAATGATAGAAGACGTAGGGTTAGATGAAATTACATGTAAGAATGTGAATGAGGAATTAAGTGTGCATCTGGCAAGGAGGACGTGTGAAAGCAAGAGAACTACGAGTTTATAATCAGTGTGCTCCGAAAGCAGTTAGCATCTACACCGTAAGTTTATGTGTATGAAATTATGTTCAGATCTCCAGAAATTCTAACCCGGGCAACAAATGCGTGCAGAAGCCAGATGTGACCGCCGAAAAGCACAGATATCGCAGCGAGGTTGTAAACAGGCACAAGGCATATATGAGTTTAGATGAATGCAGAAGATATGCCAATTTGTATATTCTTGTGTGTGTGTGTTGGAGGGGGGGGGGGGGGGGGTGTTGTTTTGTGTACTGTCCTTTTAGTGGGGAGTTCCGTTTGTGTATGCATAGTGCAGTGTTTGGTGAGTAACTTTCATATTTGTATTGTTCTCATCCAGGACTTGCAGGCATTCAGGCTGGAGGAGCAGCATCTGCAGAATCATGATGCGTTGTGTGACCAAAGAGTTGTAGATTTGTCTGCATTTCATCAGGCACAGGTCCCATCCTCACAAGGTGAGAGCTTCCAGCATCTGCATCCATCCCAGACACCTGAGCGGAAGATGTTGTTTGAGGCATCATATCCATTGGATGTGACCATCCAAAGGTCTGATGAGTCGTTACGTTACTGTGTCCTTAATGGAGATCTTTCATCGTCATCAGTTAAATTAGAGGTCATTACGACAAGGGAAACAAGCACTCCGAGGGTAGAGCCAGTTGCAACTCCTGCAGACCAGACAGCAGTTGCAGTGACGACAGCTGCACCCACTGTTGTGTCAGCGTCAACAGATAAACAGAGCACATGTCATCTTCCTAGCTTCTGTCATCGCGACCATCCTAGACGGCGCCACAGACAGCTGGCTCAGCTGGAGCAGGAAAAGGCCGAGGAGGAGTTGCGACACCAGCAACAGCAGACGCCAGTGACGGCGCCCAGCTTGTACCGGCCGAAACACAGTACACAAAACCTGGAAAATCTGGTAGAAGCCATAAGACAGATTGAAGGAGACAGAATCCTACTGGACGAGCAGAAAGCTTTCGAAGAGAAGCATATATATGATCACTATAACTCCCCAATGAAGCACGAAGACAGCGAAAGAGAGAACAGTAGTTTTGCTGACCAGAGTGAGGTCATTTCCCGAAGCTCTGGACAGGATTCTCCGCTCCGTCATCACCATCAGCAAACTGTCGAGGCTAGTCATCTGCGTACAGCGCTGCCTGTGACACTCAGCCCGAACATCATCGTCAGCAGCAGCAGTAGTAACTTCTCTGAAAAATACCCCATCGCTGCCCGTCTGCTCCATCGCTCATCTCTTGAGCCAACCTACTACAGACCAGGGGTTATTGTTCACAAGCAGTGATCCATCGGTGCCGAGCTGCCACCCATCTTCATTTGTTCACCGAACGCTTTTGCAGTATTTATTAACCCTGATAGATTTGCCTTGTGCTTCATTTCATTGTCTGATTGCTGATGGTCCAGATTGGAGTCTGTTGTCACTTGTTTGTTGCCAGATGTTTTGCTGGAGATGTGTTTTATGTCTAAATTTGGTTCATAATCCTGTGTGTGTTCCAGGGCCCAATTTCAGGGAAGGGGGTGGGAGGGATATAGACCCACAGCTGCCCCCCCCCCCCCCCCCCAATTAGTGCATCATAAAAGGCAGTGAATTAGGGGTATTCTGAAATTGGATGTGTTCAGCCGAAAGATTAAGATATTGTAGCCTAGCTGTGGCTGTATGTCACAACCCAATTCGCTAACCACTCTTTTAAGAGCAAACACAGAAGAGTTTAGTTGGTTTCAAGAAATAAACACACAGCACTTTGGGTTTTCCCATGTGCACTCCGTCCCCATCATCAGCAGCGCAGAGAACCAATACTAATAATGAACACAGAAGAATGAGTAGAAGGTTTAGAATGATAGCAGAAACTTCATATAAATTTCTAATGCTTTTTGTTAGTTTTAGAAAACCCTGGTGAAGTGAAGACACTATTGTTGTTTTAGAAAACCCTGGGTGAAGTGAAGACACTTGTTGCAGTTGTTCTTGTTATAATTTGTTGGCCAATTAATGATCAATGAAAAAAGAAGGAAATTTTGGCTTATTTATTTTTATTCTGTGTTGAAATGTGTTACAAAGTTATTTATTAATCTAAAATTAGTCTGAATTGTTTTATTTCTGCTTTGAAAGTTACACGGGTGGTTAGTAACTGTTAAGTCAGTGATTTAAAAGTATTATTTCACTTTCATTTCTTTTGTGTAACATGTTTTTGTTTTGTTTGCCATACAGCTTTGTGGCATTTCCCCCTGCCCCCCGCGCTGTTATATATGAATAATATTTCCTCCTTTTTGTTCGGTATGGCATCTGTTAACTGATAATGAGAAATGTCGAGTTCAGAATTGTGACTAAATCCTCCAAGGATTTTCTGCTTCTGGTGCCTTGCTGTCTGGAACATGCCATTCTGATACTAGAAACATTAGAATTGCAGTGACTAATGTCTAGAATGTGACACTATCATACCAGAAACTTTAAAATTGTGCAGTGACTTATGTCTAGGATGTGACACTATCATACCAGAAATTTTAGAATTGTGCAGTGACTAATGTCTAGAATGTAACACTATCATACCAGAAATTTTAGAATTGGTCAGTGACTAATGTCTAGAATGTGACACTATCATACCAGAAACTATAGAATTGTTCAGTGACTAATGTCTAGAATGTCACACTCTGGCACCAACACTAGAATTGTTTAGTGACTTGACTCATACCTAGAATGTGAGACTGTTATCAAAGCTAGAATTACTCGGTGACCTGCAAAAGCAGTGATCTGTGCTCGGTGACCTGCAAAAGCAGTGATCTGTGTTTGTGTGTGGGTCAAGCTTTTACCTTTTCCATTTTAGATAACAGCCTAAATTTATTTTCCAGTGAATATCCATCATGGGGCTTCACTAACCAATCCCAGCATTTGTTGGCTGATTGTGTGCTTATCTGTTAACATTCAGCAGTTTGCCATTGCTCTCTCAGTAATCAACCCTCATACTTTTGTTGAAATTAACCAACAGCGGCCTGCTATCGCCTGCAGCTGAAACGAACCCATTATGTCGGAATTATGAAACTGTCTTCATAATCCACAAGCACTAGATTTTTAAAACAGCAGTAGTGTGTATATGAACACTTTTTGATGTTTCCATTACATTTTTTGTTAAAAGTTGCAGGAGTGAGTTTGTGAGATCATCATTAACCAGTTCACTGTTTTATTTTTAAGCCATTAGCTCTGTAAATATAATTTTTATGAGCCTGTGAGATAAATTTTTATAAAGGATAGATCAGACATAATTAAGATGGAAAAGAACACAGAAAAATTATGACAGTAATGTTTCTCTTTATAGAGAGGAAACCAGTGTTCTCCAACGTGAACTGCGGAAAAGTCACCGTAGCCACAATTGTCTTCTTCTTCATGTTCACCTACTGTAAACCCCAGCGAAAGTTCAGTTGATTTATTCGTCTTCTTATTGGTTTTTTTTTTCCCCCACCTTTAAAAAGACTGTACCATGTTACATTGTGGTTTACAGCTAGGCTGATCTCTAGTGTTTTCAACCTAACAGATTTAGTTTAAGCGAACCTTCTTATTATTCGCCTTGGGACGTGCTTGTTAGTGGACGGGGTCTTTTCCCTCCAAACCAGGGGCCTCAGAACCTATACAGGCATGCTTTGTAATAATGTTTACTAATCCTTCGTGATCACTGGGGGTAAACTGGCAGAAAGTCCTGGTTGTGCAACCACTTCTGGATATTAGCTTTGTTCAAGGACTTATGTAAGTGAAATGTGTGCACATCTGTTTTGCAGATGTGGCTTATTAGTGTACATACTGTTGGTTCCTTGACTCTCAGGCAGATGCACTCTGACTTCCATGGAAACTTGGATCCTGTCTTTGGTGGCCAGGCCCACAGTTAGGATCTTGGATGAACACGGAGACGTGTGGACAGGTCTTGACTATTGTGAGTCCTGGCTCCTGAGTAGCACCATCACGTGTGGTTGAACTCTAGTATGGTAACACTACCATGTGTGGTTGCACCCTGGTAATGTAGCACCACAATGTTTGGTTGTACCTTGGTACTGTAGCACCATCACGTGTGGTTGAACCTTTGTAATGTAGCACCACAATGTATGGTTGCACCCTGGTAATGTAGCACCACAATGTTTGGTTGCACCTTGGTACTGTAGCACCACCACGTGTGGTTGAACCTTTGTAATGTAGCACCACAATGTTTGGTTGCACCTTGGTACTGTAGCACCATCACGTGTGGTTGAACCCTAGTATGGTAACACTACCATGTGTGGTTGCACCCTCGTAATGTAGCACCACAATGTTTGGTTGCACCTTGGTACTGTAGCACCACTACGTGTGGTTGAATCTTTGTAATGTAGCACCACAGTGTTTGGTTGCACCTTGGTACTGTATCACCATCACGTGTGGTTGAACCTTTGTAATGTAGCACCACAACCTCTGGTTGAACCCTGGTAATATAGCACCACCATGTGTGGTTAAACCTTGATAATGTAACACCACCATGTGTGGTTGAACCTAAGTAATCTAGCACCACCACGTGTGGTTGAACCTAAGTAATGTAGCACCGCCACGTATGGTTAAACTCGGTAATGTAACACCACCACGTGTGGTTGAACCTAAGTAATTTAGCACCACCATGTGTGGTTGAACCTAAGTAATTTAGCCCCACCACGTGTGGTTAAACTCGGTAATGTAACACCACCACGTGTGGTGTTAGTTGTCGTGGCGGAGTGGCTAGTCACTCGCCGCGAATTAAAAGATCATGGGTTTGCTCCCTGGGGAAGCAGGACTTTTAAAAAAAATGACCTTGGCTCCCATGTTGACCCAGCCTTGAGGGAGTACTAGGTGCAGGTCTGGGAAGTAAAAGCGGCTGGCGTGATGCTGACCATTCCACCCATCTTGAGCCGATTGGTCTATAAAATATAGGACTAGCCCTATAAGCCTGAAGGCGTATGAAAGGGCCCTGTCCTTTACTCTTTTTTTTTTTTTAACCATGAGTGGTTGAGTACCTCTCCATCCTAATGACTAATCCACCTTGGCATGTTGTGCTTACCTCTGACGTACCTCTCTTGTCTGTTTATTTTGTTTCACTGATTTCTGCTCACCTTTTTTCAAGTAATTCACATCATTGATTCATACCATATCATTGATATAAATAAGCGGTAATTTATTGAACCAATTCATTCATTCATTGTGTAAATTACCTTCATGTCCTCACATATTCTGGTATGACCAGTGTAAAATATTTCTGTTATTTTTATGTATGTGAAATATTTATATATTATATTTTTGTACTGCAGTGGTTACAAAATGAAAATTGGTGTACATAATTTGTTCCTTTTAATGATTGTTAATTTAAATTATGTTTATTTTATACTTTGTGCTTGTGGAGTGCAGCAGAGACAGAATTCTGCTGGGCAGTGGGGGTGTCTGCCTTCATTGCTTGCCGTTTTCTGCATTTTTGTTTTAAGATTTTCTATTTGCTCTTAAAGGATGTGAGGGGGATATTTGTTTTTCTTTTGTTTTGATGTAAGATTTCTCTCTCTCCCTCTCTCTCTCTCTCTCTCATACACACACACACACACACTCCTCCATCCTCTCTGCCCCTAACAGTGATTCAGTCTCCGCCCCTTCTATCTTTCTCCATCTCTTCCCCTTCTCTCTGTGTCTTTCCTCTCTCTCTCCCTCCCTCCCTCCTCTCTCTCCCTCTCTCTCTCTCTCATACACACACACACACACTCCTCCATCCTCTCTGCCCCTACGGTCTCCCCACCTCTATCTTTCTCCATCTCTTCCCCTTCTCTCTCTCTTTCCTCTCTCCCTCCTCTCTCTCTCTCTCTCTCTCTCTCTCTCTCTCTCTCTCTCTCTCTCTCTCTCTCTCTCTCTGTGTGTGTGTTTTAACTCTTTGAGACCCAGATGGTTAAGAATTAGAGACCCAAGAGGTAGTCAAGAGAGACATAAATTGGCGCATGTTGCGTTCACTGGGCCTTTAGGAAGGAACATATGATGCGTTCCTTGGGACTCAAAGAGTTAAAACCACATTTTTGCCGTAAATAGTTATTGATAAAACACTTAAACGTGACTAAAACCAGACAAAAGTTCAATTAAAACAGACAACTAGCAACATCTGGAAATGGCTGCTGAAAATTCTGGCCTCTCGTCCATGAAGGAAGCAACAGTAATCATAGGACTATTCATCATTAGGGCCTTAACACAAGGACCTGACTGTTGATTACCCACTCGGCTGCTTAAGGTCATTGCTGTAATGCATACAAAGTGTTGGGATTTGACTGTTG